TTCAAACATCGAATGAAATGATTCAGAGAACCTAAGACAATATCACAAACCCTTTACAGTATCTAAGAGTGACATTGGGGGTGGGGAGGAGGCAGGATCTCAAACCAGCATCTTCTTTAGGATGTACATAGTGGTAACTCGGGCAGGGCGCACTCCACACCACCAAGAGCACAGTAAACCTCCGACGAAATCTCCATCACCATTAGGACGCCTCAGCGGAGGCCTGACTGACATATCCTGGAAGGATGCCCATTTCTATTTGCCCAGAGGCTCTGGGGGGTTGTTTCTACAAGAGTCTTACCGTGCTGGAGTCTGACTTTGGAGTCATCATGGCCTCACTGAACTATAGCCACACAGAAAGACTGCCTGGACCTATGGTTGGCAAACTGCGGCTCGCAAGCCACATGCGGCTCTTTGGCCCCTTGAGTGTGGCTCTTCCTAAGCCTTAGGAGTACCCTAATTAAGTTAATAACGATGTACCTACCTATATAGTTTAAGTTTAAAAAATTTGGCTCTCAAAAGAAATTTCAATCGCTGTACTGTTGATATTTGGCTCTGTTGACTAATGAGTTTGCCGACCACTGGGCTCTGGACGATCAAAAACAGTAAACTGAGGATGCTTGGGTTTCGCTTCGCCCCGATGAAATACTAGCATTGTTGTCCTAACGGTGGGTCCCAGGTAGCCTCCAGCAGCGTGAATTAGTCTCACGACACCCCGCAGGGCAGCAGGGCGGCTCCATCTCACAGCGGAATGGCAGGGACGGGCCCCAGCAACGCGATCAGGCAACTGGAAGAAACTGAGCCCAGCGCAGTCTCAGAAGCTAGGACCAACCAATCCCTTTAGAAATTCAACCAAAAAACCTTAATAAAGTTCACATCTTTGGACTTAAAAATTCTGTGTCTAGTAGTTTATCCTAAGGAAATAACCCAATATTCAGAAGAGTTTTTTTGCACAGTGCTCATCAAAGAATTATTTATAAGGGGAGAAGCTGTCAAAAACTCCAATATCCAACAATAAAAGCACAATTTTAAAATTCAAGTACACATGCATAAAAGAATATCATAAAGCAATTTTAAATCATATTTAAAAGAAAATGCTCTTAATGTAATTTTAAAAAGGGGATGATCAGGTTATAAAATTGAATATATATTATGAACACAGTCCTGTGAGAAAAATTTTGCACAGGAAAAAATACTGAAAGGACACAAGACAAAATGTTAATGAAAATGGCAATATTCTGCATGGGTAATTATTTTTCTTTTTTAGACTTTTATGTGCTTTCCAAATGTTTTTACAATGATCAGGTATTACTTATAAAGGGGGAAATTAATTTTTTGTTATAAAATAGTATCTAAATGGTTAAGATCATTTCTAAATTACATGCACTGAGAAAATTTAAAACAGTGTATAAATTTCTTTATGCAACATTTAGCCTAAGAAAATCAAAATTGGGAAGTTGAATTTGAAATATGTATCCATGTGAGTATATCTACATTCACACAGGAAGCAAGGCTTAAGAGGAGACTTCAAACCACATGGGTGGGCCAGCAGTGTCATGGGGAGTGGGGCCTTGCAAGCTCCCACCGCCCCCACGGGAATGCCATGCACTGCAAAGAGGCAACGGGCTTGCCAGGCAAACACCGCTTCACACAGGTCTCCCAGCCTTCCCTCCCAGCCAGGCTGCAGCCCCCAAGTCCTTATTGAAGAGGAATCTTGAACACCCTCCATAAACAAAATACAAACGGACATATTTTTCAAGGGGAGGTATGGTTAACTGTTTTGCCCTAAAACAAAAGCCAAGGAAAAATGCCTTAACCCCCTCACCATTTAGTTATCTAAAGCAAGGCTCCTTTCCATGAGCCTAAAGAATCAGCAAACTCAGTCTATCTTCCATTCCAAAAACTAAGACGTTAGCATCTTTAGTTGCCCTGGGATAAGAAAAGACTACACTCCACAAACATACGAAAAGCAAACCAACTAAGAACATAGGCACCAGCCTCCCACTGACCTCCATCTAAGACCACAGCTTTAGCTAGCTGCTTGGGCAGGGACAGAGGGGCAGCTCTTGCATCCTACACCGTAAGTAACTTTTACCGACTGTGGGGGCAAAGAAAGATGAGAAGAGCAGGCAAAGAATAAAAATGATGAGCTGAGTCCACCGGGACCCACCTCCAGAGAAGGCCAGGTACTTACACCTCCCTTATTTTACCGCTGGTTATTTCCCAGAGATACTGGGAAGCTAAAACCATTGTCCCACAGGTGCTGTCGGTACTAACATTCAACACAGCTTCCTTAAGAATGGGTAGATCTGTCAACACAATCCTCCCTCTTACAGGAACGGGACACGTCAGTTCCTTTTCTCAAGAACTGACTCTCCCAACCCATCCCTCACCTCTAAACACCACTCTCTGTGCAGTGCTGGCTCTCAGTGCTTCCCAGACTTCCATGTGTGCTGAGCACCTGGGGATCTTGTTAGGATGCAAGTCCTGAATTAGCAGGGCTGGGTGATGCAGAGACTAAGTCAATCCCAATCTCTGCGGGGTGAGACCCAGGCAGTGCGGCAAGGCTCCCCGGGTGACCCCTATGGGCAACGGAGGTCACACACATGCTAGAAGATTTGCAAGGGCCACCAGCTCGATCTGACTCCTGGGTACTCGGAGTGTGGCCCCCGCATCGGCAGCACCGACACACTAACACTGGCATCAGAGCTGTCGGAAAGACTGACAGAGGTAACACAGGACGAGCATGCAGTAAGTTCTCTAAAACATTAGCCGTGGTTATTATTTCGCTACTAGTCGCGGTATGATCACTATTCAGGTAGGCTGATGTACCTGAGGAGGCCAAATTCGTAAGGAAACAAGAATTCTCGGTAAAACTGTGAGTTAAAAGGAAGAAAGGAAAAAGTGAGCAGGGGAGTAGCCTCAAGAGGGTGGTTGAACTAGCCTTGCAGTGAGGGTGCTTCCTCTATATGAGTGTGTAGGGAGGTGACCACAGCCAAGGCAGTAACAGTCATAATGACAGCTGCCATTCGTGTGGGCCTTAAATAATGTGCCAGGTACTATCCTAACTACTGAGCATTCTCCAGGCAGAACCGAGGGGTTTCCCTTACTCAGAGCCTACGGTCCCCAGGCCCCAGACTCAGGCAAGCGTGGGATCCTGATGGGGTGCAGGATCCCTCCTTTCATCCGGGCAAAGGGACTGCAGAGCCCCCGAGGGTGAGGACGGGACACGATGTCTAAGTCTGCGCCACGACAGAAAGGTGCCAGGCTCAGAAGGGTGAAGAGACCGGACCCAGAAGCCCACCGCTGGGCTAGCCTACATTTCGAACCATGTGCCACTCTTCCTCAGGTTCTCTTTGTCCCATCCTCTCCTCCTCCTCTTTTCTTGCTCCCTCTTCCTCCCAGAACTGCTTCTAGGAGCTTGTTTCCATGCATCACCTAGATGCCTCTCCTCCCAGCGATCTCCTGGAAGATGGGGAGGAGAGTTTGAAGGGTGGTGTTTTTCACAGAGGTGTTTCGTGCCGTGGCCCTGCATGTCACCTCTGCCCAGAGGAGGGGCTGACATTCCACGAAGAAGCAGCTCATGTGACTGAGATAACTGAGGTGTAGCCGTGAAGGGGAGGCTGAGGGCATGGTTTTGAGCCTGCCAGGCTGGGCGTCTGAAGATAGTTCCAGAGACCTCAACTTTGTGTGCTCTTCGGAACCTACATTTCAATAGCTGTTTCACTCCTGTTTCACTGGGCCATAGCCAGTCTAGGCCATGACTTCCCTAGCCTCCAGGACCAAGGCCCCCATCTTACAGAGGCAGATGCTGAGAGATCAAAGGTCTGCGCACAAGGACCACCGAGGACTGAACCAGGCAACCTGGCCCCATACTGGGGACTCCATATCAGCCAACAGCGGAAGCCTGCAAAGGATCAAGATCTGTGTTCCGCATCTCACATATGTTGTCTCCTTTTTCCTCTCAGCAGCATCGTGAGAGCTGCACATGGCAAGCTTGATTTACAGAGGGAACCGGAAGGGAGCTGTGACTGTCCAGGTGCAGAGCACTGGTCAGTAGAGGAGGAAGTGTCCACTCCAAGCCTGTGTGGCTCCCAAACCTACGCCACACCTTGCTCCAGGCACCCCAACAACCAGCCCTGCCCTCTCCACAGCTACAAACTTTTAGGACTCACAGGACCAGCGAATATGGTCACTTCTTGTGATTATCCTATCATCTTTTCTTTAAAAACACCTCTTTTATGGAAACATGTTTTCCCTGAATTCCATGAGGTTCTTCAACGTCACAGCCCCCATTTTATAAATGAGGAGCCAGGCACCCAGAATAATTAGTGGCTTCCTGGGATATTAAGCAAATCAGACACAGAACCAGGACCCAATTTCAAAAGCCCCTGTGTCTTGGGCCATGGCTCTGGGGCTCCAGCCAGACTAAGTGGTCCCTTGCAAAGTGTGCAAACTGGCAGGGGGTAAACCGATGTCAAGCAGTGATGCCAGGCTTCTGGGTGAGCTCACATAGGAGAAGCATCCTCGCTGCAAGGTCAGTTCAGCAGGGTTGCCACACCACCACCATCTGCACGCGAATAAACCTGAGGAAGATAACTAAGGACGGGGAGGAAGACGTTACTCGTCAGCAATAACTTCATTCACTCGAAGAGCTTCCCAGTTCTGTAAACAAAACCAGGTCCCTATACATTCCTCCGCAAGGGACAGATGTCCTTTAGAGAAATGTGACTTGCAAGGTATTGTGTGTGCTCTATTACTCAACAAGAGCAGACTCGTAAAATGTCAAATGCTTTTTCTAAATTCCTATTTAGAGAGAAGGAAAACATGCTATTATTTTGTCAAAATCAGCCACCTTGGCAGCCTGAGCCCCTTGACTCTGTATGGTCTTTAGGTCATCAAAGCAAATGTACATTCATGTTGTACAGTTGTTTGGTATTGCATTGCCTATCAACGAAGAGTTGAAATAGCATTGTCATTTGAATGTGGAGAATTCTCACCTGTGAAAGCATTTGTGGCCTGAAAACCAGCTTCCTGCATACTGCTCCCCAGACAAGCCCGTGCTCCGACTATTGAGCTGTCCTGGCAAGAGGAAACTGCCTGGGCGAGGCCTCAGGTCACTTCCATCTTAGCTTGTCGGAGTCCATTGCTTTGCCCCGTCCAGCTTTGGGTAGCATCTGATGCCCACCTGCCCTGCTCCCAGAGAGCAGGCGGTACCTGGGACAGCACCCAGTCCAGCACGTGCACACTTGGGGCACACGGTCACGTCAGCCGTCCAGCCAGAGAGTGCAGGCCATGGTGAGCCCGGGAGGGGCGGAAGCTGTCTCAGTGAGGCCTGCTCTCCCCCTTAGAGCGGGGGCCTCCTCTGCAGCTCGGCAGCCAGCATCCTCCACGGCTCCGACGCTCCAGTGGAGTTCGGTGTGGTCTGATCTGCTGCTCTCTGTGCTTTGCGTCTCTCCTCTTTCTGAAATTAAAAAGAAATAGGTCACTTTACTGAGGATCTGTAGGAGCATTAAATTTACCAGACCCACCCAGAGTCGTGCTCAGAACCACAGGGAAGGCACAGGAGAGCTCTGGGAAGAGGCAGCTGCAGACCTTGTCCTGAGTGACAGGAAAGGGCAGAGGGCAAGACAAAAACAGCGCTCACTGCTCCAAGCCTCTCCAAGGACAGCCACAGAGGCCCCTCAGCTTACAATGTCCTTCCCGAGGTTATCATAGTTCACAGACACCCCGAAGAACCCATTCTCATTCCCAAGGTCTTAAAAATGGGATCTGAGGTCCATACCCACTGCTGTCTAGGAAGGACCAGGGTTGAGAAATTTTAAAAATGACTCTTAAGGGGGAATCAAAGGCTCATATTAATTCTTTTAGAAGAGTAAGAAGAAAGGGCAAATTTAATCTACAAACTTTTCCATATATTTAACATAATAACATTTTACAAAATACTTTCAGATAGCCCACGGTTGTTATATTACACAAGAAGTAGCATTAACAAAAATGTCAGAAGCCCAAAGGACCAGACTTTTAAAATGGAATCCTAAATATGAATCTCCAGTATTAGAGGGGAAAAAAATTTTTTTTCATTATCATCACTTCATCCTATTCAGTTTATAACTAATTTTTAGAAAATGTAACCTTATTCCTCATTTTCACCATCAAACTAAAAGAAAAATAATTTAAGAAAAGAGCACATAACAGAAATCCTCTATTAAAGCCCTTTTAATGCTGTAAATATAAAGATAAAGTAGTAAAATAAAACATCACTAATACAGACTAACCATAGGAAGACTTTATGTATTGATGAAGCACTTTAATTATATTAAGAAATTAAATTACCTTCACACACCTGCATAACAATCTCAGATAATAAGGTATAGCCCAGTAGGAATCCTTAAGTTAAATGAATAGGTAAAATTTTTATTTTAACTAAAAACCATTTATATAAATGATGGTGTTGAAGTCCTTGAAAATGTGGGAAAATGTTTTTTTCTCTGAATTTAAATATTCCATATAAAATGACCAACACATACAGTATCAGCATCCCAAAGTCCTGCACCAACTTCTAAAGTAAACTAATCACATGCACCATAGTTATCCATTTTAGGAAATGGCACTGCCAGATAAAAACAAAAGCCCACCTGGCCCGAAACTTTAATTTTCTTTGGCCTTTTCTATGGTGCTTTCGATGCACAGAAATACTAGACTTTATCTGTCCCCTTTCTTTGAACTCAGAGAAAAACAGAGTGGTCAGGTTTTTGTTGTTTTATTGGGAAGAGAGGTTGTTTATATTATTTTGTTTCATTGAGAAAGGTATGACAGCTCACTTTTTAGGAAATCAAGCTATCCTATACAATATTGCAAATGGCTCTGGGAAAGATTGAGGCAGGTGTGGGTAGCAATAGAAGAAACAACAAGCTTTTTTTCTTTTACTGTCATTATCACGCTCACCAATTCTTTCTTTTATTATTTTATTGATTTTTTACAGAAAGGAAGGGAGAGGGATAGAGAGCTAGAAACATCGATGAGAGAGAAACATCGATCAGCCGCCTCCTGCACATCTCCTACTGGGGATGTGCCCGCAACCCAGGTACATGCCCTTGACCGGAATCGAACCTAGGACCTTTCAGTCCGCAGGCCGACGCTCTATCCACTGAGCCAAACCGGTTTCGGCAGCAATTCTTAACTTTACTTCTAAAATAGAGGTAGTTCATTGCTAGGGCTCAGCCATGGCCTTGGCCAGGAGTTTTAGAACATGATGTGTGAGATTCCCAACAAAGGATGGAGGGACACAATCATAAGTCTCCTTATATGCAATTTTCAAGTTAAAATGAAACCATAAGGGCTATCAGTGTTTTCTTCCTAACCGCTAACAACACAGCAAGATACACTTTCTAGAAACATAGCACAAGGGTCTCCAGAACCTGGAATCATCGTTCTGTTCAGTGAGGGATCCAACCAACCCGAACAGGGCCAGAAACCCAGCCATGCTCGGGAACAAAGTGTCAGATGACCCAACAGTCTGGGCAACCGAGAATCAGCAGAAAAGGCAGAGAAGCTGACAAATCATGCCTCATCTGCTTGTCCTTCCATCCTCTTGCCCATCCCATCTCCCACTCTCAGGCGGCTCCTGCTCCGGAACCGCCGCTCACTTTCTCATCTCAGCTCCAACAACCCTCCCCAGAGATGCCTCCTAGGTCGTCCTCAGGCTAATTGCGGAGCCCGGTTACCGGCACTTGCCATAGTTGTGGCTGCATGCAGGGGTGGTGAATGCTTAGCGCCCATCCTCCCACTAGACCTTAAGCACCACGAGGCCAAGGACAGTGACCGGATGACTCTCCGTTTCCCCTCAGCACCGAGGACAGGCACTCGGGAAACACGCGTTTACTGGATGAGTGGATGAGTGGATACAGAGAGAGGCACATACGGAAGGGCTCAGCAAATGTCTACAAAACAACCCCCGCCCCCAGCCGTGAACTGACAAGCAGCTCCGCAGCGCTGACTCCGGCCTCTGGACGGGCAAGCGCTTCTCCTCCAGCCCATCTAGGGCAAGAGGAGACAGTGCTTAGGAGCAGTGATTCCACTGCACTCACACTTCACAGAACCTCCTACCCAGGAAAGGGCCGGAGGGGTCATGGCTTTAAACACTTTCGATCCTCGGGGAGAAAACTCTAGCCCCACAGAGGTTAAACAACAGCCACAAAAAGTAGTGTGCAAGAGAGTCGCACTAATCCCTGAATGTCTTGCCCCGACAACCACTGTTCTTCCCACGCTAGTGCTGAATCTCACGCAGTTCCCTAAACCAAAGTACCTTTAAGCCTAATAATACCCAAATCAAGAAAATCAAGGCTGGGGGGAGAGAAAGCATAAAGAAGGAGGCAACTTACCCAGGACACAAGGTCACCGACTAATCCTGAGCCACAGCCACACATTCAAAGGCCCCCCTCTACCCAAGCATGTTACCGCCATCCTGTCGTCACACACACACACACACACACACACACACACACACACACACACAGGCGTTCTATTTATCCTGGGAAGATGGGCAGGACTAACCAGGAAATAATTAATTCAATATTGCACTTGAAAATGTCATTAAGCCCCTCCCATAACAGAGTAACAGTTACTAAGGAAATAGAGCACACCAAACGGGAAAACACCCCCACAGGAAGGGACAGTTTTAAAAAACATCAACACCCACAAAACCTCACCAAATAAGTTGTGGAGATATGTTTGCTTTACCTCTTGTGCATAAAACTTTTATGAAATGCAGTGCTCCTAGGAATCACTGGGGATTGAAAACTTAACTGCATTCGACAGATCCGAGGTTTTGTGGAAGTGCACACTGTGAAAACAGACACAGCAATTCCGGAAACATTCGGGTGACACGCCGGGAACAGAGGCCAACCCCCAACAGAGAAGTGAAACAACCCCTTTTCAAAATCTAGGCACATTCAAAAAATGCGTAGTGCATCAACAATAAACACTGCAGTTTCATTTTTTTATTTCCTCTGGCTGTGGACAGACTGCTTTGCGGGCTGCATGTCGGTTACCTAGGTGACGGCTAGACGGAGCAGCCTGAAGGGCTCCAGGCATAGAGACCTGGGAGCGGAGGCCCCGTGCTTGTGTCTGACGGACCCATCCCTGCTCTACCCACCAGACAAGGCCCAGGGAGAAAGGAACACTGAGAGACAGATAGCCCTGGCCTTGACAAATTGAGGCACGGTTGTAAAATTCAAAACATAAAAATCAATGTATTAAGACCTGTACTGCACTGCTTACCAAAAAAAAAAAAAAAAAATCTCAACTATGGGCTGGTTCATTTAAGTTCAAAGTGGCAATGACCAGATGTGAGAATAAGTGGAAAAAGAAACCCAAGGCTCTATTTCCGACCAGAGCTAGACTGTGTCATCCTGGGAGAAAGACATCACACTTCTCCACGAGTTTCTCGACCTCATAAACAGACGGTTTTAGACCTCAGAAAGTACCAGTCAGTCAAGATGTCCGAAAAGCAGTAGGACCTTAGAAACACCATGGCCTGCCTGCATGGCAGCAGTGGGGCAGAGCACAGGGCAGGGCATCCCCCCGGTTCTGGGCCACTTACAGGACTTGGGCAAGTCCTGCAGACTGCCAGGCTCCCATTTCCTCATGTGTAAAGTGAGAAGGGGAACTGAAGGTCCCTTTGGATCTGAGTGTGCCCCTGAGCCAGTGTCTCTGATCAAGGCAGAGAGGACACGGCAAACAAGCCCCGGAAATCTGCACACAAACACAAGTCTGGGAGCAAGTCTGAGAAATGGGCTGCCTGCAACGGGGGGAGGTTGAGTTGCGGTGCTACTGATTCTTCAGGATACTTTTAATTTCTGTGGTTCAGACTATAAAACAATTGTAGCTTTTAAAATGCCACAAACAGGGAAACGTGGCAATTATATTAGGACATCCTCTAAAATGTCTCCTTGTCAAATATGACACTTGATAAATCCGGAAGGACCTACACAGTCTGAGGCTCTACTGATACCAAGTTGGAGAAAGTGTCCCCCCAAAATAATAACATATGATCACTGTCCCTAGTGAATTGTGAAGTCTATATCTATCTCCTTATACTATCTAGGAGCAAAGGAAGCCACAAGGGACCATGGGTCCCACCCTTTCATTTCACGGAGAAGGAGAATGAGGCTCAGGGAGGAGAGAGGACCTGCTGAAGGTGACTGTAGTGATGAAGGCAGAACTGGGACCAGATCCAGGTGTCAGTCTAGGCCCAAGCTCAGAGTTCTTCCATACATGCCCGTTGGCAAAGGAAGAAGCTGAGAAAGGGGTACAGTATACATCTGTACCAACTGCCACTATTTCCACTTTCCCAAGCCCAAACTGGACCACGCCCACGACACCAACGTGCCCGAAAGAAAAGGCAAGGAAGAGCCAGCGGCTTGGCACAGAGCCACACAGTCCTCGGGAGAACGTGCGCTG